TGTATACATTTTTAGAGCTGACCATTTCACATTGGGTAGCACACTTGAGGGCTCATTCTTGGGGACGACTAATTCTGCCTTTCTCAAAGGTCATTAATTGCCTATAGCGCTTTGTTTCCACAGCGCTTCATCTATGGGCAGGACATTGTAGGATCTCCCCCATCCACACTAACATACCAATCACGGGCCCTCTGCAGGTCTTATTTTAGCAACTGTAGCATTGAGATTACATGAACTCAGCTTCCCTGTCACATATAGAGGATACAAGCTTGTTGCAGTTGTCTTGGTCCTCTGGCTCTATCTATCTTCCTCTTTTGTGATATTCCCTGAACTTTAGGTGCAGGGGTTGTGTTATAGGTGTTACCATAGGGTGCTTAGTACCCTATGGCCAGTTGTTACCTGCATTATGACAAATTGTAAATGTCTATAGTGGTCTGTGTCATAAAACATTTCACTGCGACATGAAAATACTGTTGTTTTACTTTAACTGAGCAATATTATTCTCTGGCAATGACTTGATAATGTGTGTTTAATTCCTGTCTGCTTATTCCATTTAATGCAAGTAAACACTGTTGTTGATGCTGAGTAACTAGTCAAAGTCTCTGCCCCTCAGAAGTTTCAAATCACTGTGTAACTATTAAGTAGGTAATCACGTCAATAATTTTCTACAGTGGAAAACAAGAGCCCAAGGTGACTGGGATATAGGGAATGCACCTAACACAAGGGTAACTTCCTCATGGCTCACAGTCTGGGACTTTATTTGAAATAAGGATAAGTAAAAGTCAAAGGCCTCGTATAAAACCATGAAGACAAAGCAAATCAAGTGTAGAGAGGATATATGTGGGAAGAATATGCCTTGTGTGTCTGAAGCACAGGATGGGAACTGTCAGGACAAGGTCAAATGGGTGACAAGCAAAGGCAGAAGGGAAATGGCAGGGTCACATGGCTTTGTGAACCACTTTAAGAACTCAGAGTTCTCAAGTTGCTTTGGTTATATTTGCACTTCAGGCATTCCATGGCTTGTAGTCCACGGCAGGAATTCAACAAATCTTTGTTTGGTGAATGATTGAAGGAATGGAAATCCAGAAACTACCAAACAAGTCAGCAAAATATTTTTGTGCTAAGTACTTCTGTATAACATGAGCCTGTGGTAAATGCAAAGTTTATAATCTATACTTTGTAATTATGAATTATATTGGCTTAGTTACATTACAGAGTCAAGTGAATGGTAGTTTTTATATTTCTGTAATACTGATTTGTAATGAGGTCCAATTCTAACTTTTGTTGTATTTATTCTTCAACAAAAATTGCACTCACCAATCTTTACCCAACTCTGCAAGAGCAGTTAGACTGTGTATAACCTTCCAGCAGTACTGTGAGGCAACAAAGGTTAAAAGCTATTTTAAGGTCTTGTACGTCCTAATTTAGGCCTTAACCACTACTGAACTTACTGGGTGAAGAAACATGTTCATGTAACAATGGCGTCTAGGTGTTTTTAAAGCCAAGCAGGACTCAGGTGACAGAAAATAAAACTTAAGGTAAATTCTTTTCTGTCTGTCCATCTGTCAATCCACCTGTTTGTCAGTCTATCTGTCTGTCTGTCACTCTGTGTCACACACACAGTGGGGAAGACTCATTGATCAGTCATGCATCTAAAACTAAAAGCCACTATCTTCTACGGGGACATCTGTGACTCTAGGGTTTCTTTTCTGATAGGTGCTAATCTCATCCCTGTATTTCCCAGGGAGCTGTGAAGGACCTTGTATTTTGCTCCTGTTTGCACACAGTAGCTGGATTCCTGGCCCAGACTGGATGACCCTTTTGTGGAATAATTGGTCAGATATTATGTACACTCACATTTGGGCTTCATGTTTGGTAGGCATGGAATGGCTATGGTGGTTACCATTAATGTCGGGTTCTTTTATTCCAGAGACCACTTGCCATGTTCCTGCAACACACATGTGCTGGCATGCAATGCTGCTGAACTGTTGGTGTCCACTTTCAGCAGCTTACATGGTATTTATGGGGAATCCATCTTTGCCTTACAATTGTTTTACATCTTTAACAAGAGCACAGAATGCAGACATCACCTCCCTGGGCATAGTCCTGTAGGATCTGCATTCTCTATGTCATTCTCAGGTGTTTACCAAACACTTCCAGAGTTTCTCCCATTAGCAGACAAATGATGACAGGGCAGTTCTTCACACTACCTGAATCAGAGCCTTGTAAGCCAGCACTTGGGCAGATATCTAATTTTGTGTTACAGAGCCAAATAAAATGGACTTTCTTCAAAGGATGTATTTTAAATACAATAGCTGTTTTTGTTTCCTTTTTAAACAATGGATTACAATTTTTAACACATTTACTAAATCTGGCATATTTATATAGTGTATCTAAACAGATATTCAAGCTGCATTATGATACAATGGGGGGAAAAAAACTATTTCAGTCTATCTGTTAAGCCTTTGTGTGTCTTGGTGCCATTGTAACAGCGGTGCTAATTATCAAGCAAAGACATGGTAATTACACAGAGCTTTTTGCTAAAAGGAGAAATCTCTTTTCAACACCCACACATTGCACACTTTCCTGTGACCCTCTAACACTTCTGTAGCGTGGCCCAGGAATCTGCACTCCAGTCTCCATGTTAGATGCTCTCCTCTCCTCTTCTCTCTCTCTCTCTCTCTCTCTCTCTCTCTCTCTCTCTCTCTCTCTCTCTCTCTCTCTCTCCAACCTTTCCCTCTTGTGAGTAAACTGCAGTGGGTTGAGGAAGGCAGGCAATGGTCCAAATATAAAATGGAAAACTAATGACCCTTTATGGAATATATTACGCTCCCCATTAAACTTACCCAGTTAACTGTATTCCATTAAATTAAAATAAGTAGGATTCAAAATTTTTCCCAGGATTAGTAAGCTATTATCATGTTAAACTTTATGTTAGATTATTCTAAAAGTGAATTCTTCTAACTACAGATATGTAGTCTCTACTATAATTGGTGCACCACTACAAAAGTTTGGAACCTGGTGTGGCTAATTATGTTCACTTTCCACTTCAGTCCCTTATCTCAAGGGTTCTGTTTGCAATGCCCCATATTGTTAAAGGTAGCATACATGACAGTAATGTGAACTTTGTCAGCTAGATGCTCTGCCTTAAAATCCTCTCCACCAACTGTTACTTCGAAAATGCAGGACGGTCAAATTGGGAAGAATAAATGTTACTGAGATAATCTGTCAGGACACATTTGCATCTTGTATTCACCCAAAATACCGAGCCACAGACTCTTGATTTCGCCAGAGAGTTAGAAGCCTAAAATGACCAGCTTTAATATGTTTCTATCACATACAAAATAATGAAATTAGACCTTTGCTACGATCTTGAATGGTTCTTTCTGAAAATTACACTATCACGAAGGATTTTCAGGTTACTTGTATAGTATTGGAAGTGAGAACCAGACTCTCCCGTGCCCAGGAGATGCTCTACCCCTGAGCTGCAACCCCCTTCATTTTTTTTTTCTTTTGAGATAAAACCCTTCAGCTGGAGACAGAGCCAACATGCCAAATTGTCACATAACACGATAATGAAAATCTCAAACTCTTGACCCAGTGTTCATATCACAGCCTTTAAAGAAGTCTAGTTCTCAGATGCCAATCCACACAGGACTATGAAAATATCAAATGGGGTGCTAAACTTCAAGTCACCTTCAAGTTACATAGCACACTCCTCTGCAAAACTCATCATATGAATTTTCTAGATTAAAAACTCGTGAAAGGAGAATTTAAAAGTGAATGTATTTTTCTAATCCATCCAGTAAAGTTCTATTGCTTCACATCACATGAAGGGCAGTCTAGTCCAAGAACATCAAGTCCAATGTCAGATTTTAATCAGTTTGTTATCGTGGAATACATCTCGTTACAGTATGTGATAGGGTTTTGACTATAAAGTTCACATACACAAAAGCCCTTGAAGCTTCACAACTAACTAGTTCTTTCATGCTTGTTTTTTTGGGGGGGAGGTTATATGTAGGTATGAAAAGTGCTCTCCTCAAGGGAGGGAAAATTTATTACTAATTAAAGTTGAGGATCCAGGCAAGTGCATGGCTCGGTCACTGGTCAATGAGAAGCAAAAATGACATAGAGTATCTCCACCAAATATCAAACATGGTTCACTGACTTTTTCCACTGAAATTATGTTTGGTCTTACTAGGCAAATTGACAATATGAAAATTTAAAGTCAATAAATTCTAATGCTTTTGAAATTTTTCAATAAAAGCAAATGAAATCAGAATTCGTTTTAAATAGTTCATTATTAGAGGTGGGTGCCATCAAAAGAAGTGGGTGCAAGAGGCTTGTTCATTTGATCGGAACCAGTGCTCAACCAGTCCGAGACAGGGTTTCTCTTTGCGAAAGGGCTGGAAGTCCTGAAAATTGATGTGTAGAACAGGCTGGCCTGAAACTCACAGAGATCTACCTGTTTCTGTCCCTCCAGTGCTGGGATTAAGGGTGTGCCACCACACCCGGTGAAAAACATTTGTATAATAGTTGTTTTCACTTTCCTAGTGAAATAGCCCTAAAAATAATGAGTTAGAAAGAAGTGACACATGTGAAAGATTATATGGTTAGAAGGAATTCACTCGAAAGAAAATTTGATTCTGTAGGGAAACTATTATATACTTAAATTGTAAGTATAAGAGAGTGCCCTTTGGATGACATTTCACCTGACCACAGCTCCCAACTCTGGTGTCCTGATACACAGTGGAGGATACTGCTCACTCAAGACAGAAGCAGCCACTGATTTGACCCTGGAACTTGATTTCTAGATCCTACATAGCTCATCATTTTGCCACTTCAACTTTCATTTCAAGAGAAGTAACCAGAATGGGGCAGTCATAGCTGGGGTAAAAATCCTTAAAATGTGTTCAGGAGTAGGAACATAGGGAAAGATTTGGGCAAGGCCCACACCATGAGGCTCTGCAGAACCCCGGGCTCACAGCGGGTGTGCTCACCTCCACGATGTCAGAGTTCGTCCGGCTCTCGTGCGGCTCGTTGTACTCTGTGTATTTGAGCAGGACCTTGTCCATGTCGGTGCTGGCGTACTGGAACAGCTTGTTGGTGCTGTTGAAGATGATGAGTGCAATCTCACAGTCACACAGTACACTCAGCTCGTAAGCCTTCTTCATCAATCCAAATTTCCTCTTTGTAAACGTCACCTGGAAAACGAAAGGTATTTTTAAAGACAAAAACCTTACACATGTGTTGTATGTTTCCACACTACTTTTTCTTTCCTTTGCAAAACAATGGTGTAGAGTTGCCAGAACCTTGGGTGCTAACACATTCAAAAGCAAAGCAAATGATCTAGAAGTGTTTTCTGCCTAGAATTTGAAAATGTGTGATTTCTAGGTCATGGTAGAATGGGAAACTGTAGATACAAGATTTAATTCAAGGAATTTAAATAAGATGGCGGAAGAAACAATTGTGTTTCTTTGAATATCTTAAAATGGTAACTTCGGCATGTTTAACAATTTCCCCAATTACAAATCTAGAAGTTGATTTCTTTTTTCAGTCATTTGAAGACCGGGCATGGCATTATAAACCTGGTACTTTAGACCTGCCTTAAAACAACACACACACAAAACTGTTTCGTCTTGTGCCACTGAATTGAAAACACTCGGAGGATTGTCTCACTCTCAGACATTGCACTCTACCCTCCAGAGACTTAGCTGTGCCCTGGGAAGTATTGTTAGGATTTTCCTTCTTCTGTTTCCTAATTTTTTTTTTTCTTTCAGGCTGGTAACTTTATCTTTGACCTTTTCTTCTTCTAGTCTAATCTCTGTCCAAGTCCCATAATTCCTTCCCTACAAATACTTGTTAAGTTCACACTTGTCTATTTCCCAGGCAGCCCCATCATTCATACCCTTATCATGTCACCATGGTCAGCCTCTCAGCTTCCTGGCCTAATGATCTCCCTGCCTGGAATCATTGACTCCTCAATTCATCTCATTCTGCAAAACCTTGCCCCACATTCCCTTCTCCCTTCCAATTATATATTCTAGTGGTTCCAAGCAAGCATGTAGCATATTATTCCCAGAAAAGATTACCAGGAAATGTACTATGGTTTGATTTGGTAGCAGGCAGGATGGAGTATCAAAGGCTGAGAGACCTTTAAACCACAACTTGCTTCCCAAGCACATGGCTGACAATGCTGTGTGCACCTTTGCTTATTTACTTATTTGAGAAGCACTTATAAGTTTTGGGAACTAGGTTTTTGAGGGTTCATACTTTGGGCATCTCTGACAGTTTACTTAGCTCTTTTTTTCTCTCTCTCTTTAAATGTGAAGGGTCTTGCACAAGTCAGTTTCCTTTTGATTGCCATTTATTTGCAATTCCCAAATCTAGATTCCTATTACTTTCTTTTTCCTTTGTCTTCATATAACCAAAGATAACCAATGAATGTGTCTCAGTGTAAAGCCGTCAAAGCATCCCTGGGCTATTCAAACCTCAAAAGCTCAGATTCAGCATTCACTCTAGTACATATTTCTTCCATATTGCCCATCTTATCATAGTTACATGAGGTGAATTTTGTTTATGATTTAACAAATAAAGTTTGCCTGAAGATCAGAGTGCAGAGCTAGCCAAACTAGTTAACCACAGAGGCTAGGTAGTGGTGGCACAGGCTTTTAATCCCAGCCCTTGGAAGACAAAGGCAGATGGATCTCTGTTAGTTCAAGGCCCCCATGGGCTACATGAAATTGATCCAGTCTAAAAGAGAAACAGAGCCAAGCAGTGGTGGCTCACATCTTTAATCTAAGTACTTTGGAGGTGGAAACAGGAAAGGATATGGCTGGCTGGAGAGAGGAATATAAGGCAGGGCAGTCAGTCTGAGGAGGCAGTCTTCGAACAGACTCTCCCATTTGGTCTGAGAATTGGTAGTGGTTGGCCATTTTGTTCCTCTGATCATCTTTCACTCTCTGATTGCTGATTCCAGGTTTTATCATTAAGACAAATTAGAATTCTCACTACAAGTGCAGGGTCCCTAGAAATGAATACTAAGAAAATACGTGTCCTGGTGACATGAAGAGCCTCTATACTTCAGCTGCTTTAAGATGTTGCTATCATGCTGAGCTTTCTGCCCTTGCTGACTATCCTTTGGAGAAAGCACTTGTATCAAAGCCCACAGGAACCAGCCAGTCTCTATTCAGATGTTATTTCCATTTTAACTTAGGCAGTTTTGCTCCACAATAACCATCAGTGCCTTACCATCTATTTCTTTGTTTGTTGTTTTTCTAAAGTACTTCTGACAGAATAACCTAGCATTCTATTTTCATATCTGATTATCATATTTCCTTAGAAAATTTTATTCCCATTCATTTGGATGAATTATGACTGACATTAAGGATGGACAGGAGACTTTCCTATTGGAATTGATAAGTAAGTATAATAATTAATTATAATGATCTAGCCATAATATATTTTAATGTTTCTTTGAGGTACAATTTAGATATGAATCTAACCACATATTTGTGTTATTTCAGTGACACAGACTAAAATATATTAAATATAGAAACACTGATGTAAAAGTGTTTCACCTATATGGAAACACTTTTAATAAGAATTCATGACCACACAGTGTAGGTAGACCATCTCAACATGGTATAGTTCCTGTAGTACTCAAATTTTACAATTTGGAACATTCTAACAATCATCACCAAAGTATATTTAGGACAGAAATACCACAAAACCACTATTTGTGTTTACTCTTAGATGCTTCCCAACTTTTGTGTATCCAAATACGTTGCTTGATAATACATACTTATCTAATAATACCTGTCAAAAAAGTCAGTGCGTGTAGCTTCTTTTCATTAAAACTGCAATCTGAAATGATGACTGTATTAAAGCAGTTAAGAAAATATCTTCAAATCTACTCTTAGTTGCTCTAAATTTAATTCTGTATTATGTTCATATTTTTCATGCATACTCAAAATGTACTTTATAATGCTTTTTCCCATTGTTCATAGTTAGATAAAATTGTTTTTAGGCATTAGGCTTTCCAAAGAGATCTGGGATATTACTCTTCATTTAAAATATGCCAATCAATGACAAAGATTGCAATTCAGAGCTTTTATGCTTAAATATAATAATGTATTGTAATGATTACATTTTTCATAATCTGACAATAGTTTGTAATGGGGACAAGTCCATATTTCTATTTCAATAGCATATTTTGACCTTAGGTGATACAGAAAGCTGCTTTTACAGCGGTTAAGTAAAGATGTTCTTTCCAAGTGTTTACATCAATTGGGATGCATCAAGAGAAGAATAAAGCCAATATTTTTAAGTGGGTACTGTAATTCAACATCTAGTTTTAAGAATTAAGGAGATTTGATAAATACATTTGCATAAGAAAAAGAACTACACTGCAAGCACTGACAGTTTTATTTTCCTATTCAATTTTTCATGATGCATGAAGATATTTCAATATTAGATTTTTATAGTAACCCTGTTTTAAGTTTTAAGTCCTACCATATGTACAGATCTCACATATTTTATGACAACCCTATCAAGGAGAGATGAGAAATTGAAATTGGAATCTGAAATTGAAGAGAGTCATATTTGCTGAATGCAGCTTTATATAATCCAATTGTAAAGAAATTATGAAAATCTTGTTAGAGAGCATTTTTTACTGAAGATTTTTCTACATGTCTAGTGTTACGGACACAACTATTGGGTATTATTTAGTCTTCTCCATGTTACATATTTGTTCTAGATTCTATAATTTCTATTACATAAAATAGTATTTCTTAACTTGATGTCACTTCTGTGGCTGGAGGAGAAAATAACCAAATGCTTCAACGTTTGAAGGAATTCTTTTCCCTTAAGAACAAAATACATTATTTGACCAGTAAATTTCTATTTCTTATCATGATTTAAAGTGGCATTATCTCATTGCTTTAATTTAGCTTTTGCTTTCAGACCAAGTTTCTCTAGACTGAGAAAGAACACTGATATATATGAAACCAATTGAGATGATTACAAAATAAAGTTTGTTCTCCTGGAATGATTTCTTACATTGTAGTTGGTCAAAACTACTTATGATGCTATGACCTCTCCCTTCCTATCTGGCTGCTGGCAGAACTTCTACCACACTGCAAAGCCTAGTTGAATCATAACATGCTTTCACTAAGATGCTTTCACTGTCATATTCCTTCCTCATTTTAGTTGTCCAGTATTAACAGATTTATTAATTGATGGATAAGACATGATCTCTCCAGGTTGGCATTGACCCCTCTTACTTCAGCCTCCTAATTGTTGGGATTACAAGTGTGTACCATAATGTGCTGGTTCCTCCAATAACTTGTACAAGCTTTTGTTTTCAAAAGTATTCTGATACCCAAGTTGATTGCTTATGAGTTTTTCTTGCTGCCATTTTAGTTCCCTAAGACTCCAGAGCAGCCTCCACACAACTAACTTGTGGTTACAGAATGGCTGGCTGCTGAATAGTAGATTACAGAACATAATTACTCTGTTTTAAATACTATACTGCCTGAGTATAGTTTTCTGTTAAAAGTAGATACTTGCTTTATTTGCCTTTTGGCAAGTTAATCTCTTCAAGATAAGAAATTGTGGACTTGTATACATATACATATTCTAACAATTTACTGTCATGAATCTTGAGAGAAAACAATTATGCTATTTTGAAATTTATACTATGGTAAGCAGAGAATGTCTATAACAGAATACATATGTGTAGATTCTCCATTTAAGTCTGTGCTTGGATGATGCATCATGAAGGCTAAAAAAGTGTGAGGATAGATTATTTATTTTTATGGTTGTAGACACACAGGGGGGGAAAAGGTGGGATGGAAAGATTGGGGAGATGACTCAGTTTGTAAATTGCTCACTGTGCAAACATAAGGTCCTAATTGTGGGTTCCTAGCACCCACATAAAAGCAGATGTGGTACTCGTTTGTGACCAGGGTTATGGTCTGGGGGTGGGGTCAGGTGGTTCCCTGGAGCTTACTGGCCAGACACCCTAGCCAATCAGTGAGCCTATTGGCCAGACAGCCTAGCCATTCAGTGAGCTACAGATTCAGTGAGAGACCTGGTATTATAAGATGAGATGGAAGGGGACTGAGAAAGACACAGAGAACAGACTTACATGAACACATGAACAACTTGTGAACCCACATGCATACATACACATATATACACA